AAAAAAAAAAAAATCTGTGCCCCAGGTTGTGTTAACTCTTAAAGAGTATTAATGAAATCTGAATTCTAGTATAATGTCATTTTGATATATTTAATATTTTTGAAAGATTTACTTTGGGGCGCCTTGGTGGCTCAGTCGTTAAGTATCTGCCTTCCGCCTAGGTCCTGATCCCAGGGACCTGGGATTGAGCCTGCATTGGGCTCCCTGCTCAGCGGGGCGTCTGCCTCTCCTTGTCCCTCTGCCCTCCTTCCCCACCACCCCCACTCATGCACTCCCTCAAATAAATAAATAAAATCTTCTTTTAAAAAAAAGATTTGTTAAAATGATGTCTTAGAACATTTGTTATATAAGTATATTTAAGAGAAACTGCTTTGGTTGAATAATTGCTGTTCATTTTTTGTAGCAAGAATTTTATTGAAATTGTAAATCCACTTTTATATCAGCAGTATATTATAGTCTTCGATAAAGCAACAGAATATAATTCCCTTAGCTATTACTGAAATGTTAATGTCTAAATGAGCCTTAATAGTCAAAATAACAGTTTATGTAAGCTGGCCTTACCAAAAGACTTAGTACCATTTAAAATTTGCTTTCCTTGGGTAGTTCTGTTATTTTAGTATTATGGATAGGCAAGTATGGTTATCAAAATACTGGAATCCATAACATTTATGTTTGTTGTATAAGGGGGTAGTGGAATGGGGAGGTATTACTGGCTTCTCAGATAATGCTTCTGGTTGAATTACGAATGCAGAGAAATGTACTTTATGTAGACCTCACATCCTCCTTTCTCTGAGCACATCTGTCCAGTTCTGATTCTAGTTGTTAATGTTCTTTATGGTCTTACGGGAAAAAGTAAAGAAAACTGTTCCAAAAAGACCTTTTCAGAAGTTAAATGCTTCCTGAGGGAAATACTAAAATGTGGAGAAAACAGCTTAATATAGTTTAGAGGGTGGGGCAGTACATTAATCACCGAATCATTATTTTCTATTCAAGAGTTAATAAAACATCATTTTGCCTAGAATTGGGATGGTTTTTGACTCAGGTTCACTCTTACTAAATCGGCCATCTAAAACCAAAAAAAGAACATGTTTTATGAAGTTTCGTTTTTACATTTATTCAGTGTTGAGGTCTCCTTAGAGAAATTGGCAGAGAATTTTATTAGAGAATGCATTGGTACATAATTAATATACTCAAATATGGAGGATTTTCTGGTTGCTGTTTTTTATAATGATCATCTTTTCTTCTCTCCTTTTTACATTTAGATGTTTTTAATGATTTATACTCTGAAGTACACTGAAGTAGATTGACTTTTGCAGGCCAGGGAGGTAAATATTATAACAAAATGATAGGAAAAGCTGTCGGTGTATACAGCTTTTTTGTTAATTCTCTTTCATTTTGATTTAACAGGTATTCCAAAGTGTCTATTCCCCTGAAATTTTGTAATTAATGAAATGCTCCAATTTTCAGGGTTGTCATTCCATCTTTGGGTTTGTGGATCTTCTGTGTGTTTTCTCAAGTCTATTGTGTTTGGGGTAGAAAAGCAGAGATAGTACTTCCCAAGTCTGGTGGTATTTTAGGCAAGTTACTGAATGTTTCTGCTCCTGTTCACCTGCCAGGTGGACAAATATTGTTCCCTCCCCTTTGCAAGACTGTGAGAGAGTAAAGTCACATGATAGAGAGTTCTTTAAAAGGTTGAAAACTATCATTTTACATTGGTAGGTTTTTATAGCCCTGATCAATTTTATTTTTTCTTTTGTGTGTATGACTCATCACTGTTTTGTCAGCATTACTTTGTTTGGAAAAAAAAAAATCATAGTAGTTCTATCTATCTCTAATTTATCTATCTGTTTATCTATCTGTCTATCTATGGCCTCCATCTGGAGAAAAACAGCTATTGGCACAAAGCATGTGGAGTTACGCAAAAGAAAAAAAAACACAACTACTTTTCTTTTCCCCAGAGACTATTCTTGCTTAATTTTCAAAGTTAATACTTCTCTAAAATAATTAATTCCAATTTAAGGAACAATATTGAATTTTTTCTCTTAAATGGTTAATACCCCTTGCAAGGTGAATTGATAGAATGGGCAATAGTTTGAAGGTTATAAATGTTGGCCAATTGTAAATAGTGTCCCAGTTTCTTATATAGAAGACAAATTTAAAAGTTTAAAATGGTAGCCTAAGTGTATACTAATAGGAAAATGATTAAATTTTAGGTATTTTCATTCAGTAAGAAAATATATAACCCATTAAATGGTAATTGTGAATGTCACCTAATATTAAGGAGCAATATGGAAAATACTTAGGGATAAAAAAGTACTTTACTGGAAAGAATTACCCTTATTTTCATGTTAATGTACAATACCTAATAATGCTACTTTTTAAATTTATCGCAAACGACACTTCTGGTTCCATGCCTTAAACTTTGCGGACAATGGCTTTCTTAGACCTGATGAACTTTATGGTGCACTGCTTTCTGTAACTCAAATTAATGTTCATAAATGTTTAGATTATTGTCCATTTAAGTAGATTTCGAATTCTCTTAAATGTACAGATACCTTTCGGACATATAACTTTCAGTTTCCTAAATGTTTTCAAATATGAATATGGATATAATCATTACTCATTTAAAAATTAAGGAATTTCTAGGGTTTTTTCTTGTTTACTTCTCCTTAGAAAGTATTTTATTTTGTTAACTGGACAAAAAGCTCTCTTACCACTCCGTTGCTCATAATAGTAATGCTGGTTTTAAAATTATTTTCTCTAAATTACCTTTGTCATATACAGAAAACTGTAGCCTCAGGAAAAAAAAATTTTTTATTTTGTAAAATTAGGTATTTTGGAAATCTTTTTTTAAGTAATCACTGCACCCAACGTGGGGCTCGAACTCGTGACCCTGAGATCAAGAGTCGCATGCTCTTCTGACTGAGCCAGCCAGACACCACTTAATTTCTAAACCAACATTTTAAACAGAAAAACTTTATGATCTGCTCTGCGGCCTAACATGAAGACAGAAGTAACTCTCAAAAGATTTTTATTATAAAAATAATTTTTTAACAAATATACAACCAAAATCAGAAACAGACCCGTAAATACAGAGAACAAACTGATGGTTGCCAGAGGGGGAGATGGTTGAGGGGATTGCCAAAATGTGTGAAGGGCAGTGGGAGATACAGGCTTCCAGTCATGGAATGAATTAATCGTAGGGGTGAAAGGTACAGCATAGGGAATATAGTCAATGGTATTGTAACAGTGCTGTATGGTAACAGATGGTAGCTACGCTTGCTGTGAGCATCGCATAATGTATAGAGTTGTCAAATCACTATGTTGTACACCTGAAACTAATATATAACATTATGTGTCAACTATACTTCAATTAATAATAATAAAGAAAAGTAGTAGTAGTAACAATAATAATTTTCTAAATAGCCAGACTTTACCAGTTATATGAAGTAAAATTTTTTCTTCCATTCCCCAGGAAAGATTGCCACTGTTCAGTGTTTGGTCTGTATTCTTCCTGGTGTTTTTCACACATACACAAACACATGTATGTGTACTTTTTTAATTCAAAGCAAATCACACACTATATATACATACTCTTCTGAATTGCTCTTTTCAGTTACTCTATTATGAACTTCTGTCAGTGTATACATATGGAGATACTTCATTCTTGTTGATAGTTATGTACTATTATTCCATTAAATTAATGTACTATAATTTAACCAGTTTCTTGTTAGGGAAAATTAGGTTGTTTCAGTTTTGTTTATTATATGTTTTAAAGAACTGAAGTGTCTTTTTTATCATGTATTTGGGTGGAGATTTTGCTTACCGTAAGTGAATCTGTTTAAAGGATCAAAATTGAGAGTTACTCCTTATTTGAAATTGCAACTAATATTTTGGAAGAAATTTACTATGTTTCTATTTTATGCCAGGCATGTGCTAGGCATTGAGTACTGACCTGAGCAAGACAACTGCTGCTCTCAAGCACAGACTTTGGGAATGGCTCATTTCTGTCAGCATAAAAATCATGCCATTCCTCCCTAGGGAGGGTGGTTCCTAATTCCTTGGACAAAATGCTAATCATTTTGTGTCATTCAGAACTGTTGGGGTGCCTGGGTGGCTCAGTTGGCTAAGCGTCCAATTCTTGATTTCGGCTCAGGTCGTGATCTAAGGGTCGTGAGATCAAGCCCCACATCAGGCTCAGCACTGAGCTTAGAACCTGCTTAGGATTCTCTGTCTCTCACCCTCTTCCCCCTCCCCCACCACTCCTCACACTCTACCCCCCCCAAAAATAAAAATAATAAAAACTGTTCCTTATAGCCACATCTCCTGATTCACAAGAGCTGTGACAAATGAAAACCATTGTTTAATGACTTCATAGTTTATATAGGTAATTGTGAGTATATTCTGGTAGTCAGGTGATACTTATTTTGAAAATGGGTCATATTTCTGATAAAACCAATCATTCAGCAAAGACCTGTTGAGGATCTGCATGTGCTGTGCGTTGAACTAGTCACTGGGGGTACAAAGATAATACAGTCTCTGCTTTCATACGACCTACTTTGAAAAAGAGAAAGAAAAATATTTTAGATCCACAGTTGACTTGAGTCTTTAACAAATGCTTATCTAGTGGATGTTCTGTTGATTATTTTTAGATGCCACAATTAATTAACAGCAATCAGTGAAGCATTATCTCCCCTCAAACAAACCAGCTTCCAAACCTAACTGCTTAAGTTTCCTCTTCTCCCTAATATGTTAGAGTCTTCAACTTTGAATACAAGTTTTGAGGTATTTAAATTTCAGAGAAAAACTACTTTGTTCTGCAGGCAGATTTCCAAGAAGTTTCTTCTCATTATCCCATTTAGTATCTGTCATGTTTTAAAAATTAAGGCTGTGTACCAAATATGAGTCATTATGAGGTTTCTTTCATTTGACTTTTTCCTTTGAGGCATTCTAAAATAATGTTAAGGTAATGTCAATAATTTCTTCTTTTCCCCCCCCAGCCGGTCCATATGGAATATTTGCTGGTAGGGATGCCTCCAGAGGACTGGCGACATTTTGCCTAGATAAAGATGCACTTAAAGATGAATATGATGATCTCTCAGACTTGAATGCTGTACAAATGGAGAGTGTTCGAGAATGGGAAATGCAGTTTAAAGGTACCTTCATTTTGTCGGGTTCTTTGGAAATATTAAAGAAAGTGTATACTATTTCACATTCCTTAAGAGCCTAAGGATATCTGTTTTCATCACCATCATTATTTGATGAGAAAAAAGCTAAATATGAAAATGATTGTTACATATTATTTCAAAATTCATATTTAAAAGTTGACTTGTTACAACCTATAAGTCTTAACAAAAACTGTGACACCTTTAGTCTTATAAGGCTTTTTAATTAAGATAGAGTATTTTCAAATATAGGCTTCTATTTAAAACTGAATTTATTTTGGATATTGATACTATAATTTACTCCAAAATGATTTTATTGATCTTACTCTCAAACCATAAAGAAAAAATATCTTTCCCCTTTATTATACCCTCGTGGCATCCATTATTACCTCCTATGTGACAATCCAGATAGCTATTTATGTGAGCTCTGCATCCCTTGGAAACACTTCTTGTGGTTCTTCTGGCTTCTTCGCACTTGAACCTGTTCTACTGTAGGAAGCAGTCCTCCTGTCTTATCCTCCTGGTTTGTCAGTTAATTCACTTAACCTAGGTTCAGATTCCTGACCAAGAAATAACTAAATATGGATCACCTTGGACACCACAGTGTTCTAAATTAATACCTGGTAACATAAAACAAGCAGTATTAATAGAGATGTAAGAAGAGAGTTTGATAGGAGAGAGAATAATGGTATGACTGGAGCCACACACTGAGATCTCAAAGAATACAGGATAATAATAACAAATGACTTTGCTTTTCATTTGGTTTATTTTCCTGGAGAGTAGTAGCCTATGTCACATTTTCTCCCCAAGAATATTTTCTGGTTGGATCTCCGTATCATGAGCTCTAAGTGATTCTGATGAAATGTCCTTGGTTAAGAGCTGGTATATATGGAACACTCTCCTGCAAAGCACAGTCCCCAAGCTTTGTAAATTCCTTAATCCCATTTTCTTTTGTTCAAGCTTTACATGAGTACAAAGACCAGCCAAGGTGAGCAATAGGAACAAAGCCTATTCTATATAATTCTAAAAGAGGCAAACACCTTCCCCACTGTATAATGGAATAGTGAAACGAATTTGATCACTACTGATTTTCTTTTGATGTATTTTTCAGAAAAATATGATTATGTAGGCAGACTCCTAAAACCAGGGGAAGAACCATCAGAATATACAGATGAAGAAGATACCAAGGATCACAATAAACAGGATTGAACTTTGTAAACAACCAAAGTCAGGGGCCTTCAGAACTGCAATTCTTATTACTCCCTTTCACAGAATGTCCAGCATCTTTGGGTTTGGTTCACCTGCTGCAAAAAACATTCAACAGATTGTATACAAGCTAAATGAGTCTCACTATGAAGATTTGAATACTAGACATTATTTATGCTGCCAAACTCATTTATTGCAGTTGTTTGTAATGTCTGGTGGGGCTTCATCATCCTGAAAAGGAGGAAACAGGGACTTTTTTAAAGAGTAAGAAAGTTACAAGGTTACTTTTTCCTTCCTTGCTTCCTCTCTCCCTCCTACCCTCCTTCCCTCCCTTCCTTCCTCCTTTTTTTTTTTTAAATCAAAAAACAACCAGATATGTATTTGCTACTTAAGTGTACAAATCTCAAAAACAGCAAGGGATTCATGTGCTGTGTTCTTGTTTTAGCTTTGAGGGAAGAGACTTGGGCAGGAGAGGTTGGGGGTGCACATCAATTTGAGTAGTTTAGGTGACTGAAACATTAAAATGTGAGTTCCCAAACTTTTCTTTTTGGGTTTTGTCAGGGAAAAGAAAAATACCTTTATTGCTAAGAAATTAAGAGAAGGGATTTCAAGTGGATTTAAGTCAAAGCTAATTCCCCAAGAGTAAGATCATTTGAAACTAGTTTTTATCCCTTCCCTTCCCCTAGATCAAATCAATATTAATTGTGCCTTATTTCACTTACATAGACTTGAATTATTTTAGGGAAAGCCCCTATGTGAATTCAGAAGTCACTACAAGCAGCATTGAGACCGAAGTTGGGATATTCTGTTGACTGCAAAACCTTGAAGTCATTCTGTGTATATAGAATGTAAAAGGAATATTCAGTGTTACTGCCACATATGTTAATATACACAATCTTAATTAGCATTGTAATGGCCAAATGCATTCCCTCATGCTTTTTCTCTTTTAAAAAAAAATTGAAAAACAGATCAACTCTGTCCCCAACAGCTGCCTAATTTTAGGAGTCTGACCCTCACATCTCATTGGTGTGGGTGCATGGGGCCGTAGTATGGATGTTGAATGGGTGTGTCTGAATGTGTGTGAGAGCGCCTTGGAAGGGACTCTGCAGATACTGTAAATACCAGTACCGTTTTAATAAAGCATGTACAATAAACCAAAATAAGCTTGAGTTGGACTTTATATACAAACTGTAAGCCAGTGCATTATGATATGGTAGTCAGGATTGTGCATTTGATTCAAGATAAGGAAAAATCTTGGAAATGAAAAGCAGGCACTGGTTAAACAAGTTGTACACATTGTACCACATTCACTGTAACTTTAGGAAGAAATTCCACTTTGTGGAACATTCTCAAGAGATCTGAGATTATTCAGGTAAGAATTGATATATAAAAATGTACATATTTTTACTTTATAATTTGATGCCAACTGATTATACTAGAAGTAATAGCACCAGATGGTAGTTACTGAACACAAAATAATAAAGGATATTCTACTGATAGGTACTGAATCCTTCTATTATTTGTTTGTAAAAGCCCTATATGTCGGTTACTTGATTTCATCAGGACTACTTAGGTTCTTGGTTGGAGACAAGTTACACCAAAAAAGATAATTTTATTAAAGAAGTCACCAGTTAAAGAAAAGATTTATTCTGCTTTATGAGTATAATATATGCAGAAGCCATCAAAAAAAGGGGAAATGTAAACTGCAATAATAAGCTAAAGTATGTAAAATACTACGTTCTATTATATTCGGTCTTGGAATGTTTTGTAGAAAATGATGAACATCAGCCAGATCTTTGCTGAAGACTGGTTGTAAAAACTGAGGAGTATTGGTAAATGCTTTGTGTGTTTTTATGTAAAATATTTTCTAAACAAGTTTGTTAAAGTACATGTCCTCTGTAGTAAACATATAAATATATATATATATATGAATCATTTGAGCCTAAACTTCAGAAATAAATCTACACTTGTGAACAGAGAAACCCTAAATATCCATGGCAGTAAAAATTATGCAGTCTGTTAAGAAAATTGAGTAATTTTGTGTTTTGGACTTGAAATAAACCGTGTTCCACAGACAATTCCTCTATTTTAGTTGAGTGTTTCTCATTCTCAGGTAGTTTGCTGGGTAGTATTCGAGTAAGGAGATGGGAGCTGTGGTGGTATTTTTTGCTGCTGATTTCCCCTTAGCCTCAATTTCCCTAACTTTCCTGATGATTAGAACCACTGGAAGTGCTTTAAATATAAATCCTTGGTCCCCAGTCCAAACCTACCACACACTGAGCCAGAACTGAAAGAGGATGGTTTTCAGACTCTTTATTTGTGAGAAGTGCCATGGTAATTCTTGTGGTCAGGCACATTTGAGAAACCACTGTAATCTATTGTCCATCTTTGTCATCCACTTGAAATGGAACTTACTCTTGGATAATTTTGGTCTAATTTCCTATATTTGGTTTCATATCATCCCCCAAACTTCCTCAGAGTTAAAGTATCAGGAGATTCCACCTAAAAAATCTAATGTGATTTTTTTTAAAGAATTTTTTATTCAGATTTTTATCTTTTGATAGCATCTCAAAGTTGGCATGTTTCTCAAATCTATACTGTGTGTACTAGTCAGTTCCTCTCTGTTAGGAAATGGACCCATTCAGATACAGATTAAGATACAACCTTGACCATGATGTGAAGGCTTCTTAATATTCTCCTGACAGTAATTCTACCTGCCTTTTTTTGAAATCTGTAGAATCCAACACTATACCTACCTCTACCTATAATCTGGAAAGCTAGGACTGAAGAAAATTGTCTCTAGAAAACTTGATGAATCAGACTCCTTATCTGATTATTCCATTTACTTCTATTAGTAACTGAGAAGTGCAGCAAGTTGCCAGAAATGTATGCCATTGGCATGTTAACACTGTATAAACTTACAGAGTTTTTATGGATCAGAATAAGCTGGTAATAAATATATAAATATAAAGTTTACAAGTTGCTTTGAGCATAATGGAAATGAGTCATCAAATATAGTGATGGTTCTTTTCCTCTAATGAGTTAAAAACAAATGCTTGGGGCACCTGGATGGCCCAGTCGGTTAAGCATCCAACTCGATTTCGGCTCAGGTCATGATATTAGGGTTATGGGATCAAGACCCCCGTTAACGGGTCATCTGCTTCTCTCTCTCCCTCCAGCCCCTCCCCCCCCGCCTCATGCGTGCCAGTGTGTGCTCTCTCAAATAAATAAATACATCTTTTTTTTTTTTTAAAGTACCAAATGCTCAAAGATAGCTTTTGAGTATGTGTCCCACTAAGATCAGCTCTCAGTTTGGTAGATTCTAATAACATTATGATCTATTTGTTGTGGCAAGAAAGTTCAAATAAAGACCACCCAACTTACTGTTTTTAGGCAAGAATCATCATTCCCAGGCACTGTCAGAAAAGGCTCTATCTCCTTACCACAGTCCTGGAAGTCAAGACTTTGAGGAGGCCGGAGCTAGATTTCAGCTTCACATTTATTATACCATCACTAGTGACTGAGAGAACGTTTGCCTGTGATTACTCCATTCAAAAGAGCACTTGACATGCTGTAAACACTCCGGTTTGTTCTCGAGATTTTTCTATCACTGTATCTGCATAGGACCCAACTAAATAAACCAAATAATAAAGTTTGGTGTAAGAAGACTGGTAAATATTTGTATATTTATTTTAAAAGCATGATTTTAATGACTACATAGTATCATTTCCAAATAGAATTTTCAGTGAAAATGCAGGATATTCCATATATGGCATGGTGCCAAACTGGTTAAAGAAAATAGCAAAGTTTGGAAGCCAAATCAATTTAAAAACTAAACTATGCTTTTCCTTGATTTTAAAAGTAATATATGCTCAGCGTATAGAAAAGGATTAAGAAAATAACCAACAGTTAAGCAAACCTAACCTTTTCCTACATCTCTCCAGTCTCTTTCTGTGTACGGGATCACAGTGTGTTCTTCAAGGCTTCAGACAAGAGGTAGCCATCCAGTCATGCTGGACATCTCTACCTGGAACCTCAAAACAAATGCATCATTTTCCCCTTAAATTTGCTCCTACTCATGTTCTGTCAGAGAACCACTGCTATAGTCTCCTGACTTAACCTTCCAACCTCCCTTGTTCTCATCAGATTCATAGTCCATGTTGGCAATTCTAAAATGTAAATTTGAGCTCATTTCCTTAAGGCCTTCAGTGGCTATTTTCTAAAGAATCAAGGCAAGGCTAATGCCCTCTTCATCAATTCCCACAGCACTACCTGTTACATAAAACAACTTGTATCTTCCAGAATATGCCCCTAGCAACTTACCCACTCCATTCTTCAGTCTGAATTATACTGTCCTCCACACCTTCCCAAATTAACTGCCTTCCTAGATCATTTGTTCAGTTTTAGAGACTCAGGCCCAGACTCAACTCAGTGCCCCCAGAATGAATTGGGGAACCCCCATTCCATGCCTCCATAATATCCCAGGTGCATTTGTATCAATGATTTACTCATGTGTTGTAATCATCTGTCTCCCCTGATGAACCAGGGACCAGAATGTACTCCTATTTTAGGCCCCATTTTTCCCAAACTTGGTACAGTGCTGGACACACAGTATTTGTTCAAAATGTTTTTTGTTAAATTTATAAAGTCAGGGTAGGCATTCCAATAGTTTTAAAACGGGGGCTCCAAGGAAACATTTTAAAGACAGAAGAGAGCCTAGGAGCTGCATGAGAGCAGCGCCTCTGCTTGGCTTTGCTTCCTAGGCTTGCAAGTAGGACTTTGAAGTCTGTGCTACAGAGAAAAATGTGGGGAAACCAGTGGACAAGATGATCTCTAGTACCCTTTCTGTTTATGGATACAATTCAAGGGCAGAACTCTGCAATCAAAAATACCTAGCAATACTTAACCTACGACTGCAAGATACAGATTTATCTTCACGGCACAAGCAGATGAAGGCACGAGCACCACAGTGCAACCCCGACCCGACTGCCTATCTAATCAAAATTGTTTGGCAGCAGCTACGGTGTGTAGGCTGCATCAAAGGGGTGACCAAAGGGGGAAAAAAAAACGGAGAAAAGGAGAGGACTTCCATTTCTTTCTTCCCCTTGTGGCTAAAAACATTCATCAGTGCTTTTGAAATCCCACCCAGGGAGTCCTTTGCTCCCTCCACTGTGGACCCCATCCCCCCCGCTCCCCCTCTATCCCCACTGCTTCCATTACAGAGGTGCCCATCACAGTTGCTAGTCTATTCCAGGGGTAATTTCGGAAGAGACAAGTTGAATTGCTCTTGCCCAAAATAAACTGCGATGTAATAAAAATATAATGAAAACAGTCCAACCTGCTGCACTTGCCTAGGAAGAAATGCCTTATTTGTAGAGCAAGACCTTTGCCCTTAAAACCTGTGCTAACAGTGAAAAAGGAGACCAAAGCAAGATAACATAGAAATGAATCACCTTTCTTAGGCAAGAAATGCAGGAGCAAGCATTTTTCTTTCCTGCTGCCTTTCAGCCGCGTCTAGTGGAATGAGTTTAGGCCTTGAAGGAGGTCTGCTGCTTTCTGGTGACCTTGAGCAAGTTTCTGAACTTGTCTGAGCCTAATTTTCCTTGTTTGTGAAAGGAACCAATACCTGCCTCGAAGGTGAGAAATAAGATAAAGGCCACCACCGAGGCCATGACATGTACTACACGTTATCCCTTCTTCCTTGGCTTTGCAGGGGTAGAAAGACATTTGAAGTATCTTTTTAGGTGGTATATAATTTTCTTTTCCTTAAAGTGAACATCTGAATAACCTTTTGCTAATTAAATCTATAGTTCTAAATCTGAAAAATGTTTACTAGCCTTCCCACAATTTATCTATCAGTAACAAAGTATTACATTTAGTAACAGAGCATCAGTGAAATATTAAAGGTTCAACAATAATGCCAAGAGGCATAGATCCACCTTTATTAATATTCTCACATGCCCAATTCATAATTTATTTAGAATTTAAACTTGTAGGGTGGAGTTTATCCTGAAATCATTTGTTTAACTTTATTAACCTGTAGATGAGGTGTCAGAGACAGAACTAAGTGATTAGGGGCGCCTGAATGGCTCAGTCGTTCAGTGTCTGCCTTCGACTCAGGTCATGATCCCAGGGTCCTGGGATCGAGCCCCGCATCAGGCTC